ATTTTTTTAATCGAGAATACGTCAAAATATGTTTCGAAGAGTAGTTGCCAGTTTGAAACTAGTGTCGTAATGCTCGAGAAAGTTGCCTTCTGATTGGCTAATGTCGATTTCTTGTCAGTCATTTCATTGGTCGGTCAAAATTCGCAAAAGGTCGTTCTGACTTGACACGTAATGGGATGTCCTAAGATCTTTGTTTAGCAGTAGCGAAAACTAAGATCTGATTTTAATGAGATTGATTTTCGACCCAATAAAAAATATATATATTTACACCATTTCTGAAGTACACCTTCTTTTTTAACATCCATGGTGACATATCTAGTGTACATTCAATGCACTTTGTTTTTTTAACCACAATCACCAGACCATAACTTTGATTTACACCTACCAAACATTCTAGCAATTGTTTTTGCTTTTCACAAACCTGTATCAATATTAACAAACCACAGCCTAAACATAACCATCAGTCTAACACAACAGTCTTGAAACAACTTCACAATATACCATCACACAAGAATCCATCTCACTTAGTGCATCGAGAAAGACTTGCTACGTTCTAAACTCGTAGACTGCAACCTTACCACATCAGCTGACGAAGAGCTCAGACAGTTACTAGTATTAGTAAACAATCCATTATGTTTTCATTGAGAAATCTCACAGCGACTCAACGCTTATGTAAAAGTATTTACGCGAAGAACTTACACACAATGGCACCGCTCCAATATAAGCAGACTGCCTGTTCTACACGCTGGCAGGGGAACTGCCTATGTTGGACACCTAATAGTGTTGTGACTACTGATGTTGTTTTACAAGCAGGAGCAGTTAAAGGTTCGGCATCATGCAGAGAGTATTTAACTGATCTGTGGCTTGGAGTGTCGGCTGTCTCGCAATGTTTGGCTACTGATGTTAGTTTACATACTTATCAATTAAAGGTGCACTGTCCTACAGTGGACAAGGTGATTCCATCAATGTAAGATGTAGGAGTGTTTTGAGTGACTTGGTTCTTTAACTGGACCTAATATATAGCATAGTCATGATGCTTGATTTTGGCATGAAAAATTAACCTTGGCTAACCAACCCTTAACATTTTGATCTTAACTTAAAAAACACCCCAGACAATACAAAACCACATAAACTTCATTTTTTCCGAAGCTACCAGTAGCCCTTTACAATTTTTTCACCTTGTAACAGCAACAAGAAAAACTTAAAATAAATGAAACAAGTGAATTAATGGTTCTCTGGTTGGTTGGTTTGTTGTTTAACGCCCCACTCAGCAATATTACAGCTCTATGACGGCGGTCTGTTAACAATCGAGTCTGGACCAGACAATCCAGTAATTGACATGATGACCATTGATCCACGCAATTGGGATTGATGACCAAGTCAGCCAGCCTGACCACCTGATCCTGTTAGTCGCCTTTTACGACAAGCATAGTCGCCAGTTACGTCAAGCATGGGTTGCTGAAGTAATGGTTCTCTGAGAATGTACGTGAGGAACATATTCTGATGAGAATCTGTGGTGTTTGCCTAGCATTCATCTTCATCTTTGTTTCCGCAGTCAGCAACATTCACATGATATCATTGTGGTCTGTAAATAATTGAGTCTGAACCAGACAAACCAGTGATTGATACTACAAGAAATATCCCATGCTGTCGGGGTGAACCCATTTGAGGAATGACAAGTGAATGTCTTAACCATTATCACCCCACCACCCCCATACACCTCGATGTTAAACAAGTTAACAGAGGGAGGGTTATAATATTCTCATATCTAAATAACAATTTCAAAATGTCAACACACCTTGTAAGGAAATAAGCTTATGGAATTAGTGTGGATTGGAAAACGGAATAATGAATAATGCTGCTTCTGCAACTATGATCTCATTCAGAAGTCACGTATAGGATGGGACTCCAAATTACACCAGTGACAAGCCTCATATGACAAATACTGTAGAGTAATAGCTGATATTATCTTCATTAAGGAGGGTGCAAGCATAAATCAACTATCAGTCTTATTATACAAGACAATATCACATAAGCTGATTCACTTCCTTAATTCTTACTGCCTGACGTTTTTTATCGCTTAAAAAAATGTTAAAATTCGAATTTGCACTAAGCTGCGATTGACGAACAGGTGACGAAGTATTTTTATGCTTGGGGAAAATAAACATCTATTGAAGGCCTTCTTTGATGGTGTATCATTCTTTCCCCGTAACAACACATTTCAATAAACTTGTTCCATAATATCAAATTTTCTGCAGTCTTCATGTCTGAATACTTCAAAGACTGTCAAACGAAAATATTTTAATAGGTAAACCAGATGATTGAGGACTCCAACTTATTGATGCATCTGTTAGCATCTGTCCACGACTAGCCTTGTCCCAGGGCCCATCCCGGGTCCCAGAAGCAGCAGCCCGGCCTGTAGAAGAAACCCATGAGAAAACATTGCATGCCAGGTTCCCTTGGGGTGGGGACAAATTGAACACAAAATTTTCATCACTGGCTGAAAATTGTTGTTGAAATGAGCGCCATCTGGGACCGGCTGACAAAGTGGCTACTTTGTGGAATGACTCAGAGCCACTTCCGGCTAATTGAGACATCGGTTTAAATTGATGAACGATTTGAAAGAGGTTTTGGAATTTAATGAATAGAATTTGAATTCCCCTCTGACAGATACTAACAAAAACATCAAGCGATGGAATATAACATAATGTCAAATTAGATTAAATACTAAATGCATCAAATATTTTTAAATTTGGAATATAAGATAATCAGTTTACTGATTTGGGATGCCATCTATCTTAAACTATGAAACAAATGGTAATAGAACAATTTTTCTAATACATTATGTAAAACTGCTTCTGAAGTATCCTTCGAAGTACAAAGATGTGGATATAAGAATGATATTGATGCTACTTTGTTAAAATTTATTTCTGTTATAAGAAACATTTATGCAGTTGTCAAAATAATCTGAATATATCCCTGCTACTTCTTCATCATGGACTTTTTATAAAAACAAATCTCATCAGTACGGGAACTTAGTTTCGTAAAAATAAATGTAATTTCTCCCGACAAAAATAAGGGGTTGTTTTGCTCCATATCACTTCTCATCTGCCAGAGCTAATTACATGCCATTACAAGCGCCTACATAGGAGGCTAACTTCAGATCTAGGTGATTAGCTGCATGTCACCATAACCTTGTAATAGCATGTACATTTCATATCTGACAGATAATTACCAACCAACATAACCTTGCACATTTCACTTCCTTGACATCCAAAGCTGAGAGTGGAAGGAGTGTAAGTTTCAACAGGTTATGCTGACAAACTGATCCCCATTCACTGAGGCAACAACTGAAGCAGATGCGCTGATGTAGCGTGGTACATTGCTTGGTCATTCTGCTTCAACATTAAAGACACACAGAGTGGAAGGTGGCCAGATCAAAACCAGCCCGGCTGCCGTTTACTAACACCAAGAACTGAAGAGTCGGGCTCTACACCTCGAGGATACAGACTTCAAGCTTATACCGTAAAGCACTCTGATGGTGTCGCTGATGCGGGATGAATGTATGCTGGCGTTGGGGGCAAATTTGTCAGAATGTACCAGAAATGGGGAAGGTGTCTTTGACTACAGTCTGATAGCTTTCATGGTGTAATGGGGGAGATATCCCTGCTTTGTTCCAGAGTGCTTGGCTTGATGGCATTTTCTGACATAAGGGGCGATTGCTTGGTTATGACTCGTCTATTTCAGTGGGTGTGTTGTCGTTTCCATCAGGAATCCAAGTTGGGCTTTCAGGTTATCAGTACACACGCAACTGACTTTCATTAACAAGCTTTTTTCTTATCAATGGCACAAATTCAAATGATATATGTTTCACTGAATTAATGTTAAATTGATGTCATAAACACCATGCACCATATCAGTATTTTCTTAAACACATGTTCTAATTAATTATATGACAAATGTTGAAATAAATTACAAAAGCTATCAAGACAGATAAGGGGCATACATATTTTAAGTATGAAATGTCATAAACATTATTAAACAGCCTCTCCTAAAATAAAGTGTGACACCATTACAAACAGAATGATCCTGCATGCAATAAACTTTAGAAGGCAATAAGCCCATCCTCGTCAATCAAGCACCTGCTAAAAGTGGTCATATGCCATGCTGCATGGGAATTAACAGCCATAATCTGTCTGTTCTGATGTCCATCTTTGCATAAGCACTGGACTTGAAAAGAAATCGGAGTGTCCACAAATATTGATATTGACAGTCCCATAAAGATAACGTAAGAACTAATTGATAAAAGTCATAAACATCAAGAAGATTAACAACAGGGGCTGGTCTGTAGGCTCTCATCAAAGTTAATTATGCAACACATTTGCTGATATCTCAGGTAAATATGTCTTGAATGTACCGGTATTTAACTATGGTCAACTAGTTTTCTACCAACTGTGAAGAGAGTTTGTACATAGGTTACACATCGTGCTCAAATATCACTCATCAAGGTCGGAAATAACACAAATGTGTGTATATCATGATACTTATTATGCACATTTGTCTTGAAGGCATTAACTGTGATAAATTAGATTGCTATCAAGCTGTGAAAAAGTTTGTGTCACTAATCAGGGCTGGAAAAGACACACAGGTGCCTCAACCATGGATACTTATACAGATTTTCATACATGTAAAACAAAATGTTGACACTAGAAACAGGAGGTTCTAACACAGAAAGTATATTAAGATATTTGGATGATAGTTATTTAATGTCTTAACTCCGAAATGATTGAAAGGTGGCTCTAACATCTATGATGTTGAAAACAGATTAAACCATTTGTCATCAATTATGAAACTTAACTGTGATTACAGAAACATTGTTACTTTTGTTGATTTACATCTTAAGCATAACAATATTTAACACACCACTTACCTTGACAAAATAGTAACATTCATTAGCAAACCATTAAATTGAAACAACCAAATAAACCAAAAAAGCTTACCTTCCTTGCTCTGGTACTGTTGACATGAAAAAGAAGAAAACAAATGTTTTTGTCAAATCCATCATGACATAAAAATGGTAGAATCCAAGTTCTTCAACAGTTCACATCAACATAAACACATCATTCAAAAAGATTCACATCCAAAACAGTCTTTGCTAAATAGCAATGGCCACTATCAGTTCCATCATCAAAGGACAGGTCTTGTAAAAAATGCTTGGCAAAGTTCCTGGAAAAAACGCCTGGCAAAGATCCTGGTTTGCACATGCAATGAGAACGTTTACCAAGCTGGATCACCTGCCCGAACTGATGTCACGCAAGCCCTATCATGAGGTTCACTGGCTAGAATTATCCCCCCTGACTTGCTGTAACATCACTTCTCCCTCTAACACCAATCTGATCCTGATATCATTGACTGATACTGGATTCTAATTCAACTTGAAGAGATCAGTTCCACAGATATCCTGGTGTGTTTGAAAAAGGCGGGAAAGGCAGACAGAGACATCAATAAATTATCTCCTCCGCACAAACATTTCATTACATCTGTGGAAACTCCAATTTTTTGTCCCATAAACCCGGCAAAGGTAACGCGCTTCAGTTTGTAGGTATGTTCTGTGTAAAAGGTTCTAAAAATATTATCCAGTTTTAACCGTTTCTCACATCACTGCTGTCAAAACGGCTTTCCTTCTGCGTAAGATCCTTGACAATATTGTTCTGTAACTTCATCTAAGCTTCAGATCTTTGCTAGAGTGGGTTCCAGATTCTAAGTGTCACTTTGAAGATTCTTCACAAAAATCAAATCTGAGGGAGTACAATTTTTTGAGGGATGAGTTCATATTTCCAACTGAGGGCACAGATTCTTTCAAGGGTGTCAGCGGAGTCCAATGTTTTCCCAACTGTTGCTCACAGTCAAGTCCTAACAGCCAGGATTACGCACAGTAAAAAGCAGTAGTGGTGGTATGGAGAGATAGTCGACTTGCGGCTCGACAGGCTGCAGGGCTGGTGGAGTGTGCCTGCAGAGAGAGGTTGGCTGGCACAGGTCTGTGGGAGGGAGGGGCGGTCACGGCACACGCGACAGCATGGCGGAGCACAGCTGGGACAGGGGGAGGGGGAGGTGATGGCTGTAGTGGGGGATGGTGGAGGGATGGGGACAGTGTTGATGAACATGTTTGGGTGAGTTTCTGGGTGTGGGTGGGGATGGAACAGGCATGGAAATTGAGCATGATGGGGGGTGAGGATTCTGGTGGTGTATTCTGGGGATGTGATGGTGGATGGGGTGGATGGGGTGGAAGTGGGTATGGAAGATGGGGGTGGTGGTATTGAGTGAGTGAGTGAGTGAGTGAGTAAATGATGGGGCTGTGACATGTAGGGGTGGGGGGTAGAACTGTCATGATGGAGGAGATGAGGGTATTCTGGTTGTCCGTACTGTGGGGTACTGGGAGAGTGCTGGGAGTGTGACAATGTAGGGGGTAGGACGGAATTACAGTGCCGTGTTCAGTGTTGTGGTTATGAGTAACTACAGCTGGAAAAATAGTTCAGTTACATCATGGGTTGTCAGCCCTGAAATGATGCAGGTCTTAGATATTTACCACTTTGTTAAAAAAAAAACACAAGCACTTGTACAATGCTGACAAACCTAAATACAATCAGGTCAAACCAGGTTTCTGGCATACCTGGGAATACAAAACTGCACAACAAACGGCAGCCTAGCAATGTGGTTTTCTAGTGGATAAGGAATGAGGTGCTGGGGTTGAGGGGTGGATGCACCATTTACATTTGAGGGGTGTGGTGTGTGGTGGGCAACAGTCGGGGTACAGACAGTTACATGTAATGTGTGTAACAATGTCCTGTCTGATGAGGAGGGTGAGAAGCTGAGAGTGAGTGAGAGAATGGGGTGCAGGATATTGATGGGGTATGAGCGTGGGATGTTGGTGTAGGCGTGGGATGTTGGTGTAGGCATGGGTATGGTGTGTGGGACATGGGTGTGGGGATGGGTTTGAGGAGGGTCTGGATGTTGTTTTATTGGTTTTTTTGTTCAACGCTGCATTCAGCAATATTCCAGCTATATGACAGAAGTCTGTGAACAATCGAGTCGTACGCCGCACTCAGCAATATGACGGCTTTCTGTAAATATCCGAGTCAGGACCAGAGAATCCAATGATTGACATCATGAGCATTGATCTACGCAATTGGGATACGAAGCCATGCATCAACCAAGTCAGAGAGCCTGACCACCCGATCCTGTTAGTCACCTCTTACGACAAACACAGTCACATTTTACGGTAAGCATGGGTTGCTGAAGACCTATTCTAACCCGGATCTTCATGGGATGTCTGCATGTGTAACAGGTAGGTATTTATTGATGGTACAGTGAGTGAGTGAGTATGGTTTTACGATGCTTTTAGCAACATTCCAGCAATATCACGGCAGGGGTCACCAGAAATGGGCTTCACACATTGTACCCATGTCGGTAATCGAACCCAGGTCGATGGTACAGAGGAGTTTGAGTGTTATAAAAGCAGTTAAAGGATGCCATGATGGGATGGGATTAGCATGAATTAAAACTTGACCACCATTCCAACCCTTTTCCATATCCAGCTGCATTTACCATACTGCACTGTCACCACTTCTACCCATCAGCCCCCAGCCCGCTTTCATCCACAGACTGAACAAAAACACCGGACCAGTGAGGGATGGCCAGTAATGGCAGGTTGAATGTCCCCAGCATAAACACCCTGGTCAGCGGGGAAAGTTTAGTCTGGACACTCCTGTTTATTATTATGGTTGTAAACATGACAAAGTCCGAATAGTGAAACCTGAGTGTGTTTCCACAAGCCACGTGTGCTTGACAGTCAAAGCCGGGAACAATGGGAAGACCTGCCTGTCCAAATAATCAATTAGAAACAGGCGAACAGATACATATTACACTGAAATTGCAGGTGTGTAACTGTGCCGAGATGATGCAAACATCATTATATTGCGGAGTCTGTTATATTGGTGTGTAAATATCCATGTTATCACGGAAGCGAATTCCTCCGGGCCTTCAAGACAGGTGCATAAACAATTCCATCTTACCATTATTCAGCTGTGCCACGAAAAGGAACAAAACACAACAACTAATGAACAGCGAGAAGTGGAGCAACGTTAAATTAACAGCATCATTATTGTCAGATTCCTTTGGTCCTCAGAGACGCTGAACATCATAATTTCAAGCTTATTTTCAAGACTTTGGAATGCACTAGCACATGTGTTTTCATTACATAGACTAATGTTTAGCTTCTGAAAAAAACCATAATGTTGATAGAAATAGGCAACTACACATAAATTGAAAAGGATCCCCACAAACATGTGATTGATGTCATGAGCAACGTCCCACGTCGTCGGGTACAATGACACTCAGTCAACTAAGTCACCTAGCCTGAACTCGAGATTCCTTTAGTCATCTTGTACGAGTAGCATAGATTGCTGGGATCCAGCTATTCTCGCTACCATAATGCCAAACTCATCAGACAGAGAGCACCTTAATGTCAGTCCCTGAACCATATTATTTCCCTTATTGTAATGCTATAACCCTGAATAAGCAAGTCTAGATTTTCCACAGATTCTCCCATCTCGCTTAGGCTCATTTTCAGTTAAAATGTAGTTGCTTGTTTCTATTAAAATTATTTATTTTCAGAGACTAAGTGTTGGTCTAATAGCTCCTAAGAATCAACATCAAGTGTAACCCGAACCCTTCTTTGTCCAAAGTTTACAAATCAACACAAATAAAGTTCCACCTGCGCTAAACAAGCCATCACAAGCAATATCTCCATCTACAGATAAAACAAATAACCAGAGCCACAACTGTTCCAGGAACAAAACATGTCTGCAGACAGGCAGTTAGACTAATTGGTCAGTTAATGGGACTGGTCATAAACAGGAATAATTACAGCCCTGAGGAGGTGGTCAGTCTGGCAGGAACAGCCACAGGCAAGGATAGATGACCAGTGGCCACTCTTTGTCCAACATACCCACTACCTGCCTTTATGGATGAGTTAAATGTTTGGTTGTGAGGGAATGGTCAGCATTAATGTCACAACAGTTCAACTGTTAGATTGGCCAGCATCATGGCCAGAAGTCCTGGGCAAGTCCTGGTCAGGCAATTGATAGGGTCATGTTCTGACAGTATGTATATGTGTATAATGCAGACATCTGGACATTTTGTTTCTTGGCTTGGAAAACAGTACATCAAATATTCAATGCCCTTTGCTGGCAGTATTTGGAACATTATTGGATAGTCAAATTATGTTATGATTTTTAATTTTTTTATTTGAGTTGTAATTTCCAACATGATTGTCTGAATATGTTACTGTATCATATTTCAGTGTATCATCATCATCACCATAATAAATATCACTACTATTATTCCTCCTGTTATACAGAGACGATAAATAAGAATAAACTCATCATCATCATCCTCATCAATATGGCTATCATTAACATCATCACCACAATAAATATCACCACTATTATTCTTTCTTTTATACAAAGCCGATAAATAAGAATAAACTTCAGACTTGGGTTACATTATGCCCTGAACTGCCCTGATTCTCATATCATTTGGCCCTGTCCCAGGTCACCTTCCCAGATCAAGAATATTTGACTTTGATTGATCCATAAAAAAAATCCTGTGTTTACGACCCCACATTGTACTACAAAGTGAAACAGGGGGCAATTCCTTCAATGGCATCCTCTGTCCGCCCTGGCCTGAACTCACCCCCCTCTGGTGTGTGTTGTGAATGGAACTGGGAGGAGTAAGTCTTGGAGAAAACTCCACCACAAACACAGAGTGCAGTTTCCACAACTTGTCCCGTATCACCAGACTCTGCTGGTGCCTCCGTGTTTGTGTAGAGATAAAAACACATCTACACCCATTCAACTTCCACTGCCTTCCCAGCACTTGTACGTTTGTAGTTCAGGTTTGTTCCAGGTCCAGCTTTTACTGTCGCCAGGCCTGTCAGATGGTACATGATACTGAGT